TGAGGTTTTGTAGGTCAGTGAGGTTCTGTTTGTCAGTGAGGTTCTGTAGATCAGTGAGGTTCTGTTGGTCAGTGAGGTTCTGTTGGTCAGTGAGGTTCTGTTTGGCAGGAGGTTCAGGAGCTGCAACTGCAGAGTTTTTCTATAATCATTGACCATCTCCTTTGTCTTAGAAACATTCATATTTAAAAAGGAAGACTCACACCATTCAGTGAAGTCCCCGACCACAGGTCCAGGGTCTGGGTCATCTCTGCTGAGAAGGGACAAGATGACAGACTCATCAGAAAACTTTAAAATGTGATGCTGTGGAAACTGGCTGCAATAGTTGTTTGTATATAAAATAAATAAAAGGGGTGAAAGAACACAGCCCTGTGGAGAACTGGTATAGGACAGAAGGGCATCAGAGAGAACCCCGTTGTCCCTCATCTGCAGAGACCCAAAAGTTAAAAAGTCCACAAGCCAACAGATGAGGTCAAAGTCTAGATTGTTCATAAGTAGTAGTTTATCTGCTAAAATGTGGAGCTGAATACAGTTAAATGGAGATAAAAAGTAAAAAAAAAAAACAATCTTACAAAGGTTTTTGTACCTTCAAGCTGTCTTAAAATCATATTTAAGAGTTCCTGTTGTGTCCTCCAACAGGTACATTTGGCCTCTACATTGCTGTTTGCAATGCCCCCCACCCAAGAACATATAGATCAGCTAAGAGCTGCACATTGCTAGAAAAATAAACAGACTGTTCCATCAGTCTGACATACAGTCATCTTTTTTAACAAATGTTCAGTGTGCGCAGAAGCCCAACAACCATAAAAATAAAAGAAGCTCAATATTATCACAATATTCAAGGTGGTTTTTTTTGGGGGGGGGGTTTTGGCCAGTATATTATTAAAAAGAATAATATAGTTCAGTTTGTTCCAAAACCATGAGCGAGTATTTTGCAGAAATATTGAGTCCCCTCATCAGTAAGAACTGATGTCAATTAATCACATTAGTTGTGGCTTTATGTTGTATTTTTCACTGATGCTGTTTCTGGATAGATTGTTCTGTTTTGTGATGATCATGTTTTACACATGAAAACTCCAGTGGTTTAATGACTGCCTGGTGTGTAATGTTTCAACTTGTCATCTAATTTCACTTCATCCTGTGAAGTCTGTTTTCAGACACTACAGGACGTATTTATCGCTTCCCATTCACTGTAATTTCAACAATTCAGTTCAGTTATTTATATAGCACCAAGTCACAACAGAAGTCATCTCAGGGCACTGAACAGAAACATTTATATATAAAAATAATAATTTAACATTATTTCTCTGAGGAACAGACTGCTTTGAATTTAACCCCATCAATGAACTCTCATCTTGAGGAAGCATGAAGGCGACAGTGGAAAGGAAAAACTCCCTCATGAGAAAGAACCCTTTAGCAGAACCAGGTTCAGGACAAGTGGCCATCTGCTTCGACCGGCTGGGTTTGAGATGAACAGCAAGGAAGAACGGATACACAATGGCAGGTCAAGAATCACATGTTAAGATATATAAATACACTGCCTGGCCAAAAAAAATGTCTCCACCTGGATTTAACTAATCAAATAGGTACGAGCTTCATATTAGATAATTACTGCAGGGATGATCATCTTTCAGCTGCAACAAGTTATTTAACTCCAACTGGTGCAATGAGTTGCTTCTCATTTCTTCAACAACCATGTTGAAAGACGCATCATGTGGTCGTGGAAAAGATGTCAGTCTGTTTGAGAAGGGTCAAATCATTGACATCAAGCAGAGAAAACATCTAAGGAGATTGAAGAAAATATTAAATTGGGTTAAGAACTGTCCAACGCATTATTAAAAACTGGAAGGATAGTGGGAACCCATCGTCTTTGAGGAAGTAATGTGGACGGAAAAAACTCCTGAATGATCGTGATCTGCGATCATTTAAACATTTGTTGAAATCAAATGGAAGAAAAACAACAGTAGCACTCAGGACTCTGTTTTATAAGAACATTTCCACACACACAATGTGAAGAACTCAAGGGATTGGGACTGAACAGCTGTGTAGCCTTAAGAAAACCACTGATCAGTGAGGCTAACTGGAAAAAAGGCTTCAGTTTGCTAGGGAGCATAAAGATTGGACTCTGGAGCAATGGAAGAAGGTCATGTGGTCTGATGAGTCCAGATTGACCCTGTTCCAGAGTGATGGTTGCATCAGGGTAAGAAGAGAGTCAGGTGAAGTGATGACATCATGCCTAGTGTCTAGTCATCAATGCAAGATCTTGGTGAAAAATTAATGCAACACTGGATGGAAATAGATCTTGTGACATTGAAGAAGTTTATTGAAACAACACCACAGTGAATGCATGATGTAATCAAAGCTAAAGGCGGTCCAAGGAAATATTAGTGCGTGACCTTTATATTTGGTGGAGCCTTTTTTTTTTGGCCAGGCAGTGAAGTATCAAATGAAAAGTATTCCATTTTAACAATTCATTTAAGGAAATTAGGTAAATTTGTCCTAAGCTTATAGCAGCATAACAAACCAACACTAACTATAGAATTTATCAAAAAGGACAGTTTTAAGCCCAGTCTTAAAACTGGACAATGTGTCAGTTTCACAGACAGGAGCTGGAAGTTGATTCCACAAGAGAGGAGCCTGATAACTGAAAGATCTTCCTCCCATTCTGCTTTGGAAACTCTAGGAACTGCGAGTAAACCTGCAGTCTGAGAGCAAAGTGCTCTGTTAGGAAAATATGGAACAATAAGATCTGTAATATAAGATGGAGCTAGGTTGTTGAGAGCTTTGTAGGTTAGAAGTAAGATTTTGAATTCTATTCTGGATTTGACAGGGAGCCATAAAACTGGAGAGATATGATCTCTCCCACTAACTCCAGTTAAGACTCTGGCAGCAACATTTTGGATCAACTGAAGACGTTTTAAAGACGTATTTGGACACCCAGATAATAAACCATTGCAATAGTCCAGTCTAGACGTGACAAATGCATGGACCAGTTTTTCTGCAGCAGACGAGACTTCTTCCATCTCTAGGATTTGAAGCGTTCCTTTTTTCCGTCCACACACCAGCATCACAGCGAGTAAACGTGGAATAGAACAGCAGGTCCATGCGCTGACTGTTTCCCTCAGATCTGTAAAAACTGACCATTCAAATCTTATTTAAAGTGACGCCTCCTTCAGGCACCAAAGTTTTGCTCTATTAAAAGTGTTCTCTTTGCTCCTCATCACTTTTATGTGCGTCGTGCACTGGCTAGGTGTGGATACACACTCTGCGCTGCCGGGCACGTGGGCTGCTTCGTCACAAACACATGTACGGGTGGAAACAACATTTACACATTAGTTCCACTTGCAAATCTTGCAATTGAATATCAGAAGGAATAACAATGGAAGTGGTAATGTTACTATTTTAATATTTTTAGCGAGGCATTCAGGAACACTGTTTTGTGTTTTTATGTGTACAGACCAGGATCAGCTGTTTTTTTATGGTTTGTTTCTCTCCTCTCCCTCTCATCCATACTTGTCTCCTATATGTTCCTTCACCTTCATTCCTCCTATTTCCATATCCGTATGATCCTGCCCCCTTTTGCCCTCCTCCTCTCTTTTTATCTCCTATTTCCACAGAACTCTTCAGGCATCACCGTCCCAAAGCCTCCCAAACCTCCAGACAAGCCGCTGATGCCATACATGCGGTACAGCCGGAAGGTAAGCAGGAAGGTAAGACACCCATCCATGGTGTCTGCTTTTACTGCTTGTCCTCCCCTCCCCTGAAAAATCTGCAGGAGTTTGAGGGTGGGAAACAGCCAAGCTATGACGCCTCGCTACCATCTCCACAACCAAGTGGAGCCTGTCCACTGTTAATCTGTCTGCTTTCACTAGTTAAGATAAATTCAAATATCTATCTAAATTTATTTAGACTAGTATAATCTGCTCTTGCACTTTACCTAACCCTTTTACTTCATCTTGCTTCAAAGCTGTATTTTCACCCTTAAATTCTGCATTTAAACAACAATCTGCTCTTGGATATTCATTATTTCATTTTTCTTTTGACAAAGAATTGAATATTTCACACTCTGTTTACTTTTCTTTCCTCTGCACTTTTCTGCTTTTATTTTTCTCTTGGCTTCTTCTTTTTCATACTCGTGAAGGCGTAACGATCAGATGATGGTGTGTGCTTGTGTGTTTGCATCTTGTGTGCACGTGAAAGGTTTGGGACCAAGTGAAGGCATCCAATCCAGACCTGAAGCTGTGGGAGATCGGTAAGATTATTGGAGGCATGTGGAGGGACCTGACTGATGAAGAGAAGCAGGACTACCTCAACGAGTACGAAGCAGAGAAGGTGGGTTGTTCTAGACCTCGAACATCACCAACACTGACTTTTAGACAGTTGATCAGTTCAGCAGCGCTAGTGGAAATGATGACGTTTGATGTTCATGTCTGAAATTGTAAGGGTTCGGACAGATTCTCCAACTGAGTATTTATGATCTGGCATTAGTTACAAAATGATAGGCTCAGCGTTCCTGCATGAAATGCTGCTCCTGCCTTTAATCTTTAATCTTATGTTCAGTCAGGTCTTCTGGATGATTTCTTCTTCTTTTTTTTTTTTTTTTACTGAGACGTTTTGTCCTTCATCCAAAAAACTTCTTCAATCTAAGGAGCACCAAACAAAACTGATTCCCACAAACGGCATACTCCACAGTGAGGAAAAACCAGTTTGCTGGTAGTAAGATGGCCTCTGGGGCCAACCTCTCTGCCATCAACTCCTCTGAGACAGTCATGCCAAAGTGGTTCAAAACACCAAAGTCCATGCTCAATAATCCAGGTATAAAATCCAACAATGTTCAGTCATGTCATCTAGACAGTTTCTTCTTTTTTTGCTGAGATGTTTCGTCCTTTATCCAAAGGACTTCTTCAATCTGAGGAGCCACCAAACAAATTGATTCCCACAAACATTTCGTTCTTTGGATGAAGGACAAAACGTCTCAGCAAAAAAAAAAAAAAAAACTGTCCAGATGATCTGACTGAACATTGTTGGATTTTATACCAGGATTATTGAGCTTGGACTTGGGTGAAGATCATCTTTTGTTGAAAAACGATGCAAACAATGCAGTTGTAGCCTTTTAACGTTACTTATGATTTTTATGTGACATCACAAGATCCCACTGTGGTGGATTTTTCTACTCTGTCTCAACACAGAAACAGGTGAAATAAAAGATGGTCAAAAGGGTCTTTGAATTTGTTTATTATAATAAACAGGCACACACGTGTCACAGGATGCTTCACACAGGATGCTTCACACAGGATGCTTCACACATGATGCTTCAAACATGATGCTTCACACAAGGTGCTTCACACAGGATGCTTCACACAGGATGCTTCACACATGATGCTTCACACAGGATGCTTCACACAGGATGCTTCACACAGGGTGCTTCACACAGGGTGCTTCACACAGGGTGCTTCACACAGGATGCTTCACACAGGGTGCTTCACACAGGGTGCTTCACACAGGATGATTCACACAGGATGCTTCACACATGATGCTTCACACAGGGTGCTGCTTCACACGATTCTGCTTCACACAGGATGCTTCACACAGGGTGCTGCTTCACACAGGATGCTTCACACAGGGTGCTGCTTCACACAGGGTGCTGCTTCACACGATGCTGCTTCACACAGGGTGCTGCTTCACACAGGGTGCTGCTTCACACAGGGTGCTTCATACAGCCTGCGGAGGACGTGTGAATGACAAAAATCCAATCCAGCTTATAGCTCTCCTTCGTGTGATGATAAAGACACAGGACTGGGTCAGAAAGACGTGCTCTGTATTTACCGATAACTGGGCTGATTGTTTATGTACTCCTGTTCCATTTAGATTAAACATAGACCAGTTAGACAAGACCAATCGATCATGAGGTGTTCTGTTTTGATCAACAGGAGATGCAGGATTCATCATTTCAAAACACCCTGAGCACAGTATTGTGCTCAGGGTGTTTGGAGGACAGAATGTGACAAAATGAAACAAAACAAAAACAATAATGAAGTTAATCATTTCATTATTAAATACATCATTAAATAATTAAATAAACTATTATTAAATACATCAGTAAATATACAATTAAATTATTAAATACTCAATTAGATTATTTGTTTCATGATTTATTAAATTATTTAATTTAGTCACATTCCACCCTCTTGTGTCACATGAAGTTATGTTAACTGTCAGTCTCACTCATCAAACTCAGTGGGCGGGACTAACGCTGAGCATTTGAATTCCTAAATTGTTAGATGAACCATATGTGTTTCACGAGCATCACCCCAGGTTAATATAATATTTCTTACCTTGCACACAGGCCTGGGTTTGTGATCCACACTGCTGCAATGGGCCATAGGTCCGACTGTGGAGCTTCAGAGAGCTGCTTCGTTTAAATTTGCTGCTTCTCGTAAAAGTGCGTCGTCTTCTTTATATTCATGGTATGAAAAAAGGTTTAATCCAAATACATGCAAACACAATTACTGCTTCCTAAAGTTACAGAATATATTTTCTGGCCTGTGGCTCAATCCATTATCTGCGGTTGATTTGTCTTCGCTTGCTGTGAGGAGCAGCCAATCAGGGGTTAGGGTTAGGGTTAGTCCCGCCCACTGAGTTTGACAAGTGAGACTGACAATTAACATAATTTCATGGTGTCACTGGAGGGTGGAGGGTGACAAAATTAAATAAATAAATCATGAAATAAATAATTTAAAAGGTACATTTAATCAAGTCTCTTGTAAATGAGTCCCCGAGGCTCAATGGGATTAACCGGTCTAAATAAAGGTTGAATGAATTTAATTATTTAGTTGTGTATTTAATAATTAAATGATACATTTAATTGTTATGTATGTATTATGAATTTATTTATTTAATTTTGTCACATTCCATCCTCCATAACTATGAAAACGGACACATAATATGAATTTATATTTAAGGTAAAATACAAAGTTCTCTGTGACACATCCCACGTTATGTGTTGATGAAGACTCTACCATACCCTCCATTATATAGGTGGCCACTGTGGTGCAAAGGTAGGACAGCCAACTTGGGACCAGGAAGTTGCATGTTCAACTCCCCACCATGCCCACATGTTGTGGTGCCTTTGAGCAAGACACCCAATCTCCAACTGCTCCCTGGGTGCTTACATAGCTGCCCAAAGCAGGTCTCTCTTGAAAATGAGTCCTCATAACTCATTGAGACAACCTGTATAAATAAAGGTTAAATAAAGTTAAAAAAAAAAAAATGTCTGTATCTGTTAAATTGGCTGAGTTGACACTTTTTATTTGAGTCAGTTTGGTGGTTGTAGCCAACTTCAACTTGATTGACTTGAAAAGTCAAATCATTTGCAGATATACACAGTGATTGCTTTCTGAAAGTTTTATTTAAACTTCTATAGTGGTTCATGAAATATTCAGCAAAGAAACATGAGTAAAATCATCACTGTGTTGTTTCGTCAGCGGGTGACGACTCGATTTTGGTGAACCTCGATCAAAGTAGCCGTTTGAGCCATGTGCTTCTCGGGAACTGGTCCTCTTCATCACTGAAACGTTTACACGGTCTCTTTCACCAGTTTGCCTTATCTTTCATGCTTGAGCTTTGTTTTGGAAGCCTCTTAGTTCACGTCTCGAGAGATTAAAGTTATTTTATGTATTGTAAGTCACAATGTTGTGAGCAATTCAAAACCTAATATAAAATAATCAAAGAGAAGGATGAAATTAGTCCATAACTGTCTGTCAGTGTCAGTTTTCTGTTATATTTCAGTTTTAACTACATTTTTAACGAGACTTGCTTCTCTGCTTTTCTAAATATGTAGTTTTGACCTCTGTCTTGATCTTCTTGACTGAATGTGTAAATAACCTCTGAGACCGTGAGACCATCCATCTTGTTTTCTTTGCAGATAGAGTACAATGATTCTTTGAAGGCATACCATAACTCACCTGCCTACCTGGCCTATGTGAACGCCAAGAATCGAGCTGAAGCAGCGATGGAGGAGGAGAGCAGGCAGAGGCAGAGTCGTATGGATAAAGGAGAGCCTTACATGAGCATTCAGCCTGCTGAAGACCCTGATGGCAAGTTCACACGTAACTCATTTATAAAGGGCCTCAGCTGAAATATTTGGAGTACAAAAGAGAACACGTAAAGTGCTTTTAAAACGTCTCCATACCTTGGGCTGGGTATGGTTCAAAATTTTTTGATATTGGTTCCTAAACGGTACTTTTTTCGGTACCTATTTTATAATATCAGTTCTAACAAGAAGAAAATTACGTTACACATTACAGTACAAATCTTGAGTTTTATTTTTTGTCTTTGGTATTTTTTCATTCCAAGCAGTTTTCTTACATAAAAATAAACAAATAATTTCCAGTGCCAAAGACCAGTTTCAAACCAGTGACACGTCAGTGTCTAATGTTCACTGCTACACATTGAGGACCTTTTCACTTAACAGTTTTTCTTCAGAAACATCAACATGTCTTATTTCTCTGAACACAAACAAGCCCGCTCCTGGCTGATGCAGCAGTAGGAAATGTTCTGTTTCAAATAAAGTCCAGTTGTTTTTGTGTTGAACGTGTTTTTAATTTATCATGTCCTGGATGACTGAGAATCTTCAGCATTTCACTCTGAGGGTGTGGATGATGCTTGTTGCACACACATACCTGGTTGCCAGTTTGATAGCACTGACATATTGTCCTTCACATTCCACCACCAGACCAACAACATCAAGCAGAACAACTGAATTGTTGACATTTCTATGTTAAAGAGTTTTAAATTCAGAGGTATAGAAAGAAAAGGGTGACCTTTGACCCCAGGGCACTAAAATCAATAGTCACGTCAGATTTATTTATATAGCACATTTAAAACAGAAACGGTTACCAAAGTGCTTAACAAAAAGATCACAGCATCAAATGAAAAGTAACGATGTAATTACAGCATATGGAATAAAAACATAAAACACAAAACATAATTAGAAGCAATGAAATACTAAATCAGATTATCTTGTGTCAAATGTCACAGAATAACTACAAAAAGCATAAAGAAAATCTAAATCTAAATCTGATCACAATGTGTTAAATGTCAATGAGTACAGGTGTGTTTTCAGGAGAGCTTTAAAAGCAGAGACTGAGGTGGCCTGTCGAATGTTGATGGGCAGATTGTTCAGAGTTTAGGGCCCACGACTGAAAAGGCTCGATCTCCTCTGAGCTTCACCTGGTTTTTGGTACCACCAAAAAAAGCTGGTCTGATGATCTCCAAACCCGAGAAGGAGCATAAGGATGGAGAAGGTCGGGGAGGTATGAGGGTGCAAGGCCGTTAATGCACTTGAATGTCAGCAGGAGAATTTTAAAATCAATTCTGACACGCACAGGAAGCCACTGAAGGGAGGACAGAACCGGTGAAATTTGCTCAAACCTACAAGTTCCTGTTGGGAGCTGAGCTGCAGCATTTTGGACGAGTTAGAGACGTGAAAGTGAAGCCTGACTGACTCCAACATAAAGCGAGTTACAGTAGTCCAGCCGGGTTGTAATGAATGCATGGACAACATGGACTTCAGCTTAGCTATCAGCCTTAGCTGAAATAAGCTTTTTTGAAGAACAGAGTTGATATGTTTATTAAACTTTAAGTCTGAGTAAAACTATCCTGAGATTGGTAACAGACTGTTTTAGATATGGCTGAAGGGAGTCCAGGTTTGCAGAATCAGTGACAGTGGCAGAGCTATGGTTAAACACAATGACCTCAGTTTTCTGATCATTAAAACTTAAGAAGTTCGTAGCCATTCGAGTCTTGATGTCATCAAGACATTTTAGCAAAGGGTGAATGGAGCAGGAACTGTTAGGTTTCAAGGGCAGATAAATCTGAGAATCATCGGTATAACAGTGGAACAAAATACCATGTTTCATCAGGATAGACCCCAAGGGGAGCAGATACAATGAAAACAAAGGTGGTCCAATAATGGAGCCTTGCGGGACCCCTCAGGAAAGAGGGACAGAATCAGATATGATTACCAAAATTGACACAAAAACTCCTGTCACTCAGGTATGAGCAGGACCATTCTAATGCTGCACCCGTGATCCCTACCCCCAGTGTTCTAGTCGTAACATAAGGGTACTGTGGTCAATAGTATCAAATGCAGCGGTAAGGTCATGGCGTACCAGGATCACAGACTGACCAGAGTCATTTGCTAGCAGAATGACATTACAGACCCTTACCAAGGCTGTTTCAGTGCTGTGTAATTGTTTAAAACCAGACTGGAAAATCTCAAAAATTAAATTTTCATTCAAAAACTTGGTTAGTGATCAGTAGATAATAAAATCAGTAGTTGAACCATGATTTGTTCAGCTGTGAAGTTTGACATTTCTATTTTGCAGAATTAGATTTTGGACACAAAATTGTCTACAGACTGATAAACAGCTTGTATTAGAATTGGAGGCCATCTTGAATTTTTAATTAGCCTTCAGTATGTGTTGGGGATCACTCTTGGCTACCACCGCACCAACTTTTTGCTCAGTAAGTCTAAAACTGATTTAAGTTGAAGCTTAAAAAGTCTGGACAGAACAGACGAAGCTTCAATTAGAAAAAAAAAGTATATATTTTTTCCCCTTGTCCTGTCCGGCTTTGTGACACTCAGAATTATTGTCCGAGTGTCAAAGTGATGCCCAACAGATTTACTTTCACAAGCAGAGCATTATGGCTGGACTTAATGCTCCACTTGATATCCATCCATCCATTGTCTTTACCCGCTTCTTCCATTTTGGGTCAGCAATCACTGTGCAAGGAGCGGGGTACACCCTGGACGGGTCGCAAGTCCATCACAGGGCCACATAGAGAAACAACCATTCACTCTCTCACTCACACCTAGGGACAATTTAGAGTTACCAATCAGCCTAACATGCATGTTTTTGGTCTGTGGGAGGAAACTGGAGTACCTGGAGAAAACCCACGCATGCACAGAGAGAACATGCAAATGTAATATGACATATCCTGAGATATATTCATAAATTAAACGGGTTCTTTCATTTTTCTGGACTGTATATAACGTGCATTGAATTTAATAAAATGTATTGTGAGACGTTATTTATCTTTGACCCATCAAAATGAATGTGGTCATTTATTTACAGAATCAAAGTTTAACATCAAACATTTACATTAATTTGGCACATTGAAAAATAACAACATGGCTACTTTTAGCAAGCTATACAAGTGATTGATTATCCACACGGCAGTAGATGAGCACTTTACACAGACATTTCTAAAATTATCTGGAATGATTTCTACTTGATAGAAGAATTTAAAGAGGAAAGATGAAGTTTAGTGGGAGAAAAGATGGGTGAGGGGGTTTGTTTATGTCAACCAGAAACAGCACTTTCCGGGTTTCTCAGCTTTTTCCCCGGTACACTTAGGTGGCAGAATTCAACTCTTTTACCTGGAGATGTCCCCAGCGGTACGAAAGTCCATTCAACGCACCCTTTCAGCGTATCCGTAGGAACAGCTGTGAATCGTCCAAAGTAGTGACGGTATTCCGTTAGACACAAATTCACCTCAGCAAGTGGACTTCACATGAGTGGAGTCCGTCAGAGTTCCACCCAGATGTGGAAGAAAGTTATAATCCCATAAGACTCGGAAGAGCTCTGTGGTCATGTCGGTTTCCCAGCATTGGAACTTCGACCCAACAGGAACTGCGACCCCACAGGCACTTCGACCCCACAGGCACTGGGAGACTCTGTGAGACTCTACAGGAACTGGGGTGAACTAGGAAGTACCGACATTTTAAAGGGCTCTATTTCCGGTTCATTTGGGAGTTTTCTTATTGGTCAATGTCGACCAGACAGTGGTGTGTTTTGTGACGTAAAAGGTTACTAGAAGTCAGAAAACAGCAAGAATGTTATGGAACAGATTGAAAATGTTTTTCAGACAGACGAGAGAAATGTTTGGACGGGTTGGCGGAAAACAGCTGCCAACAGGTGCCAGCTTCTCTGTTTACGTCTGAGAGGATTTAAAAACAACACAGCTCGTTCCAACACTTGTCTGCTTAGACTCCGACCTTGTTCCAAACTTACACTGCTCATTCAAAGACAGAAAATCAGAAAATGCATAATTACTCTGTAACAGACCTTAACATGAATTCTAACTTTGCATGAGGATTAAAAATAATCATTGTTACTGTTTTACAGTTAATAAAAATTGATTAGTTCACTGTAACATCTAAAATGTTTGAACTAAAACACTTTGATTATCAAACATTTGTAAAACAGTAATGATAATAGAAAAGAGAGTGTTCTTTCACTTGAATTTTCAAGAAAGAAAGTCTCAGGATGGGTGAACCTGTATTTCTGGATTCAAATCAATGAAATGACAGTTTCTGTCCCACAAGGTTCCTAAGGTCAAGGTTTCGACATCAGGCCTAGTCCACTACACAAACTCCACCCAGAAAGGCCCCTGGACTGGGATTTGAACCAGGGACCTGCTCGCTGAGAGGCAGCAGCTCTACCAGTTGCGCCACTGTGCTGCCCTCCACTTGATATATAAATTCAATTCAATTCAAAAATACTTTATTAATCCCAGAGGGAAACCATTTGTTGTAGTAACTCGTTATCCTCATTTCATTAAGAGATGTTATAGATACTGATGGCTGTAGACAGGAAGGATCTCTTGTAAAGGTCCATCCCACAGTCGATCCTAAGAAACTGGCTGCAGATGCTGTCCGATCCGTCCACCCAGACTCGGCTGGCCTCTCGGTTCCCCTGGGCTGTAGGACCGCCCGAATGCTGGGCTGAACTCCCCCCAGAGCAATGGCCACTCCTCCCAGCAGTCTGCCGAGCTCCTCGTCGCTGCGAACAGCCAACTGTAGGTGCTGAGGGACGATCCTGTCCTTCCTCTGTCATGAGCCGTGTTTCCTGCTAGTTCCAGGATCTCAGTGGTCAGGCACTCAAGCACACCTGGCAGGTAGATGAGAATGCGTCCACAGAACATCCTTTTCAACTCATTTGAGATTTAGGGCTGTAGTTGAGATATTATTTGAGCTTTTGAGATGTTAATCAGCTGCTGGTTGTAGAAAACTGCCTTGTTGCCATGGTTACGCATCATAACAAATGTCCAAAACTAAAAAAGTTTCAGTAAAAATCCTTCCAGCTGCACAGCATCTGATACCAGAGGAAACAATCATCCAAAAAAAAAAAAGTGATTTACATCCAGAAAAATAGGAATTAAAGTTTCCAAAAACAAAACCTCAAAATGAACCTAACAGAGCTGCTCCATCATGCAGCCACCTTGAGCTACGCAATAAATAAAACTTTATTAGAATTTGCTTTGGGTTTGTTTCAGATGTAATGGACATGGGGAAGGAAAACAAAGAAGAAAACAAAGCAGAAAAGTGAGAGAAGGGTTAAAAGGTAAAGAAGGAGATAGGAATAGAGGAGAGAGAGATAAAGAGAACACAAATCAACATCATTGAAGTCTAGACCTGCGGAAAGAAAAAAAACAAGACAAAACCGAAAAACCACAACAACAAACAACATATATAATGATACTTGTAACATCATTAGAACATATTTTATACAGTACATGGTAATACAAGATCTATTTAGTGGCCACCACAACCCAACTGAGTGTGTATCTGATAAACACCTGAATCTAAACACCTGTGTGAGCATGTTGTCACTATAAGGTTTCTACATAAAAATGTTCAATAGTGGGGGTGGGGCCCCACAGACCTAATACCCCACCCCCACTGGAAATAATGACAACACAGGGAAGGCCGGAGCCGCAGACACCCAGCGGTCCCCAAGCCCGGAGCCCCGGGAGTCCCCCAACAGGGACAACCGCACCTCTCCCACCCCCCAGAGAGAAGCAGAGGGAAGCCCCGGGTGATCTCCAGCAACCACATTGCAGAAGCCCCAGGAGGCTGCAGCTCCAGCCATGGACACAGAGACCCGAACCCTGAGGTCATACCACCCCCCAACAGAGTCCCGACAGAGCCAGGGCATCTGGGCCCCGGCAGGCAGCCACCAGGGCGGGCCGGCACACACCCAGTCACCCAGCCCCTGATGCCGAGAGCCGCCAATGCACCGGCAGCAGGGGGACCAGCCACTGGAGGGAAATGTGACAGGTGGAAGTAGACCCCACATTAAATGGGGGGCCCAAAATGATCCAGGAGAGGGGACCACACAAAACCCAACCTGACACGTAAACAGGCACACACAGCCTGACAGAGCCTCTTGGGCTGTGTGTGTGTCCCACAAAAAAAAAAGTAGCTGAAAGTTGACGTAAAAAAGCTGAAATTAATAGAACAAAGCTAAAAGTAGCAGAAGCAAGCTGAACGTGCTTTGAAGAGAGCTCAGTTTATTTTCAATGAGAAAAACGTTGCAGGAAATGCTAAATATTTCCAAAAGTAAAAATTACACAAAGACTAAAAGTCAGAGCAGGAATGTTCTTTGAGCTGAATGTTCTGACATGTTTATTTGAAATAGCAGTAAAATTGCAGAACTTGTTACACGCCAACAAACATGGAAGATCAATGGATATCTTTACTGTGAATGCTTCATAAGCATTTACACAATAATATGAAACTGACAAACATCACAAGGACAAAATAATTTAAAATGAACTAATAAAAATCAGCCATTTTGAATTTTGGCTCCAAACGATCTAATGAAACTTGACAAAAAGAATGGTGCGCATAACTTATAAATTTGTTGCACAACTTTTTCAATCATTGCATTCAGCAGTTTACAAGTTACAAGTTTACTTTGTCAAATGAAATCTCTGAAAAATACTTTAGGTTGTAGTTGTAACGTGACAAAATGTGGAAGAGTTCAAGAGAGATGAAGACGTTCAAAACTCAGTCACGGTCACATTTTGAGTTTTAATAATCCTAGAACCGTATTGAGAGGACTTTAATGATGCCTTCCACTGAACCATGTCCCTTTCTGTGTTCAGACTACGATGATGGGTTTTCAGTAAAGCACACAGCAGCTGCTCGCTTCCAGAGGAACCACAGACTCATCAGTGACATACTCAGCGAGTTTGTTGTTCCTGACGTCCGCTCTGTGGTTACGACGGCTCGTATGCAAGTCCTCAAGAGACAGGTCCAGTCTCTCATGGTGCACCAGGTAGGATCGTGCCCATAATCTTTCATTGTCACATTTTCTACACAAGGAGTTCTTTGGCACTAGTAATTTAGGAGATTACTTAATATTACTGAACTTTTGTATGTTTTAGAGGAAACTGGAGGCGGAACTTCTACAAATTGAGGATCGTCATCAAGAAAAGAAAAGACGCTTCCTGGAGACTACCGACTCGTTCAACACTGAACTGAAACGGGTACGCCGATATCACTTCACCTAAAGACAGACAAGTGGGAAGTGAAGATTAGATGGAACATCAAAACATGTCTGCTTGCACGTTGTAACAGCATATTTAGTTATCTATCTGACCAGTATCTGCCACTTGCTGTAGAGTCAAGACACTGGTTCAGCAGTCTGAGCAGGGACATCCAGACATGACTTTCAACAACCACCTCCTGCAGTTCTTCCAAGACGATTTGAAAGCAATCCCAGACTGGCTGAGGCAATGCTGGGCCTTTATTATTATAAATAAATAATAATTATAAATGTTTTCGCTGCTGTCACTGTGTCCAGTTGTGCAGTCAGAAGGTAGAGGTGGACATGGAGAAGCTAGCAGCAGAGATGGCGGCAGCTGAGGAGGCGGCACGGCGGCGGGTGGAGGAGAGGGAGCGTGAAGTGGCCGAGCAGGCGGAGAAGGCTGCACAACAGCACGACGCTGCTGGAAACAAAGCTGCGCAGCAGAGTAATGGTGCTGATGGCGTCACTTCCAACACCACTTCAGGGACCAAAGAGGAGGACACGTCTGCACCAGTGGAAATGGGTATCTGTGCACACGCATCAAGTTTATTTCTCTTACACATCACCTCAATAGAATTACTCTAATTTATGGACTATAGAGTGCACCAGAGCATAAACCACACACACACACACACAAAAAAGCAATTTTGTGCAGATCTAAGCTGCGCTTGTGTACAAGTCACAGGTGTTGTTGAGAAGCAGCGCAGCTACTGAGAGAGATGTGCAGCTCTTGTTGTAGATCAAGAATCAAACACCAGATGTTGTTTTATAGACTTTATTTTACTGTTCAACACACACACAGTGAACCTCACAGGTCTCCATGACAACTACCTCCCTCCCTCACTCATGGCTACTCTGCTGAATGCTCTAACTAGGGCTGGGCCATATCATATCGTTCATGATAATACCAGTAAAAACAGCTTGCCCGGGCAAAAAAATGATATCATGATATCCTAATTTCATGATGTAATGCGTCAGGAGGCCCCGCCCCTTTAACAGAACCAGCGCGCCGAACGACCACACCGAATTGCGCACGCTAATTAGCTGCGCGCAATACTAGCTAGCTAAAAAGAAACAACGTGCGGCTCAGCTGTGTCTCCATCCAGCTCTAAACTGCCACTCATCTTTTTTTTTTTCTCCCCACCCCGCTCTGGCTGCTGGTGCAAGCTGCGTCTCCCCCGCTCTAAACTGTCGGTACAAACACGCAGCTCAACTGTCTCTTAGTTCCACAGTCCATGGAGCAAGAACAGAGTCAGGTGATGAGAGACAGATCATCAGAGAAATGAGTGATTCCTGCAGGAACAGAGGAAGAAGAAACTCCACAAGCTTCAGGGTCACATGATCACCTTGGTACAAGTTCTGGAAGTTAGAGCTCGTTTAAAGGAAACATATATTTTGTTGTGTTATATTTATGATCAACAGATATTAAACTTCATTTTATTTAGTTAGTTTGGGAAACTTCACCTGCACTTTAGTTTTTGTGGTGGATTTATTGATCTTTATTTTGTACAGACTTTTTTAATCTAAATAACAGAAGGATTATTTTAATTTTTTTATTTTTATACTTGGAAACTGAATACTTTACTAGATAAAGTAATTTCAGTAAAATTACCCCTTGGTTTTTTATTTTATTTAATTTTATATAATACTGTAAAGCAACATGTTAAGTTAATTTTGTCAAATAAATAACTATGATTTCTGTTTGTTTTTCTTAATCGCAAAATTTATCGTTATCGTCAAAATGGTCTGAAATATCATGATATTATATTTGAGCCGTATCCCCTAACACAAACGCATAATGAACATGAACTAAGCTAACAAGAACAGACTAATCACTCAAAGAACAATGTTGAACAGCTAACTGAAATGATTAACAATGAACATAAATTTGACCCATAATCCCTCCCTGAGGTCATGTGACCAGCAGAATGCTACAATACATATATTTCTACATACATACATGTACAGACAACAATAACAGTAAACAATAATAAACTAGAGTAAAAATTAGGGATGCATGATATTGTTTTTTTGGCCGATATCTAATACCGATATTTTCCCTAGATGTACTTAGAGTCTACAGAGCTTTCTCTGTTGTGCTTTAGGTCTGCTGCCAAATGCAGATGCCAAAAAGGAGGCTTTAAATGATGTAACACTTCAACTTGGGTTATGTTTAATGTCAAATTTATTCATGACATTTACTCTCTCCAACACAATGACAACACTCGAACAGTGCACATTTATAAATTTTCACAAATCTAAACTCAATAGTGCGCATGATGTCATCACGTTGTGCTGGCGCTCCACACATCCTTGTCACGGGGTTGTCATACAAAAACAGATACATAAACAGCGCTTTTTATATCGGTGAGTTATTTTGATGGAATGGCTGATGTCCAATATTTAACTTTATTGCTAATATCGGCTGATACCAATACCATGCTGATAATCTTGTACATCCCTAGTAAAAATGCAGTAAAAATAAGAGTAGTGTATAAAACAATACATCAGGGTGAAATACTAAAAACAAGAACATATTTGCTTTGATGTTTTTATTGACATTATCAAATGTTTGAAAGCCCTTAAAGAAATCAATGAGGACAACTTCAGTTCCTGTTGCAACGTGTTGCAGGAGAAAGTCATTGATCGCTTTATTCCTGCTGCTACAAGCTTGTGCTCTGCAGAGCAGTTGCTCTGTGAGCATGTGAGACTCACATGCTCTGTGCATGCAGGGGAATTCCCCCCACACCCACGGTCCCCTCTCCCTGTTTCATTGGTCCACTGTGATCTGTTAATTTCCTTGATCATATTTATTTGTTTTTTAACCTTTATTTATTCAGACAGTCTCACTGGGTCACAAGGACCCACCCCCCAGAGAGAAGTGTATCTGGCAGCTATGTGAGCGCCCGGGTGTGGCGAGGCTAAATGTTTTTGGCGTCAGGAAGCTTGATAGCCTGTCAAAAACAATATCCATACATTAGCCGCAGCATACTATAAGCTGCAGAGTTTAAAGCGTGTGAAAAAAGTATCGTGTTATATTCCTGAAGTTACGGTATCTGACAACGTCCTGTTTTATTGATAACCACGAGTACATCAGTCTTTGTCCTTCCTGCACTCCACAGATGAAGCAGCACCTGCAGATACCGCCTCTGACCACCAGTCTGCGCCACCTCCCCTTAGCGATTCCTCCTCTTCTACCTCTGATAAGGCTGCTCTTCCTCCTGAGCCTCCTAGTGAGAGCAACACCCCCCTCAGCAGCACCTTCAGTGACGACAACAGCAGCACAGTCCCCCTGGCAGACAGCAGCCAAGGAGCAGAAGCAGCGTCGGACTCCTCAGTGGGGCAGGAAGCAGTTACTCCTGTGGGCACGGCAGTGCCCCCAGCCTCAGAAGAAACAGTCCCCACCCCGCCACCATCACTCCTCACCAACCAGGGCAGCCAGCAGTATGACATGTGAAGGTGGTGTCAGACGTTGTCCCTGTCAGTCATGGAACCTGGACACCAGCCTGGCTGTGCTCATGGTTCCTCAGTTATAAAGCTCAAGTAAATATGGAGAACGTGTTGTGTACAGTTTGTTCTGAGGACGTAAATTAGCTCTGATCACGTAGACCACTTCTGATAAGAAGGCTTTATTTCTGTTTCTGTTTAAAGATCTCCCCCCGGTCTTCATGTTCTGCTTTGTTTTTAGATATCTAATAGATCCTTCTAGAGTAAAATGTTTTCTGCAAGATTGTATCTGACACAAACTGACGAGCAGTGATGTTTTTTTGTGTCTGTAGTTGATTAAAACAAACCTACGGTTTAATGGCTCATCAGTATTGTGCATGCTGAGTTAATTATTAACCATCCTCCTGTAACAAGCCTTACAAAACTAAATCCCATCTTTGGATGGGCATTTTTTATGTGTGGAAATTAAAGTTTCTTCCTCTGTAATGATGTTTTTGTAAAGGAGGTGATGTACTCCATTAGTATCTAATCTTTGAGAGCTTATCTACAAGTCAACATATTTTTTTAGGCTGTTGGTTTTAGTCACGTTTCCTGCTGATGCCACAAGCATTTAACTTCTATTCCAAAGCTAACCTCACTGTTTTTAAAGGAGTGATTTCTTACTTGAAATGAACTGTTTCAGTCGTGTGCCTGTGTTTCACCTCTTTCTTTGATATTGTCTGATCTTATCTATCCAAATAAAAGTGATTTCATAGTCTGTGGGTGTCTGAATGGATTGTTCTGATTAAACACCCTTATACAGGTGCTGGTCATAAAATTAGAATATCTGGAAAAAGTTGATTTATTTCAGTAATTCCATTCAAAAAGTGAAAATTGCATATTCATTCATTACACACAGTCTGATATATTTTAAATGTTTATTTCTTTTAACGTTAATGATTATAACTGACAACTCATGAAAGCCCCAAAATTCAGTATCTCAGAAAATTAAAATATTGTGAAAAGGTTCAATATTGAAGACACCTGGTGCCACACTCTACTCAGCTGATTAACTCAAAACACCTGCAAAGGCCTTTCAATGGTCTCAGTTTAGTTCTTTAGGCTACGCAATCATGGGGAAGACTGCTGACTTGACAGTTGTCTAAAAGACAACCACTGACACTTTGCACAAGGAGAACACAAAAGATAATTGCTAAAGAGGCTGGCTGTTCACAGAGCTCTGTGTTCAAGTACATTAATAGGCAAAGGGAAGGAAAAGATATAGAAAAAGTGTACAAGCAATAGGGATAACTGCATCCTGGAGAGGATTGAAACAAAACCCATTCCAAAATGTGGGGAGATTCACAAAGAGTGGACTGCAGCTGGAGTCAGTGCTTCAACAACCACCACGCACAGACGTATGCAAGACAAGGGTTTCAGCTGTTGCATTCTTTGTGTCAAGCCACTCTTGAACAGGCAGCATCAGAAGCGTCTTGCCTGGGACTGCTGCTGAGTGGTCCAAAGTTATGTTTTTTTATGAAAGTAAACTTTGCATTTCCTTTGGAAATCAAGGTCTCAGTCTGGAGGAAGAGAAGAGAGGCACAGAATCCATGTTGCTTGAGGTCCAGTGTCAAGTTTCCACAGTCAGTGATGTTTGGGGTGCCATGTCATCTGCTGGTGTTGGTCCACAGTGTTTTCTGAGGTCCAAGGTCAACGCAGCTGTCTACCAGGAAATTTTAGAGCACTTCATGTTTCCTACTACTGACCAACTTTATGGAGATGCAATTTCATTTTCCAACAGGACTTGGCACCTGCACACAGTGCCAACGTTACCAGTACCTGGTTTAAGGACCATGGTAGCCCTGTTCTTAATTGGCCAGCAAACTCACCTGACCTTAACCTTGTGAAGAGGAAGATGTGAAACACCAGACCCAACAATTCAGAAGAGCTGAAGGCCACTATCAGAGGAACCTGTACTCGTAACACCTGAGCAGAGCCACAGACTGATCGACTCCATGCCACAACGCATTAATGCAGTGATCCAGGCAAAAGGAGCCACAACTTATTACTGAGTGCTGTACATGCTCAAACTTTTCATGTTCATACTTTTCAGTTGGGCAACATTTATAAAAATCCTTTTTTTTATCGGTCTTAAGTAATTCTGAGATACTGAATTTAGGATGAGAGCTCCCCTGCAACCTGGAGAGGAGAAATCATTTCAGTTCAGTTTATTTATAGCACCAAGTCATGACAGAAGTCATCTCTGAGCAGAAGCAAGTAAAAGAAAATGGATGACGAGTTGAACAACTTTAAAACTCCCTGCTTTAGATTTTTATAGTTCATTCTTGTTGCTCACAGACTAAAGATAACATGAACCTGACTTTTAAACAGATATGTCATCTGTTAAATGTCAGTATTTTAAAGGTTCTGTACATTACAAAGTGAAGGGAACAGCTGTCGACTTGTGTTAATTTCAAGAGTTAGAGGTCTTTGAGCCTTATTAGAAGACACCCCAACTATTTGTCAAATGACTGTTAATGGCATTTCAAATTGTAAAAGGAGAGCTGCAGCTTCTGTTGATGTGTTTGAGCCTAACAAAAGCAACAATTCTAGACCCCCCCACCCCCGCTTTCCAAATGAGTGAAAATTATGGCTCAATCATTTACCGTAATTTCTTGCACTTCATCCATCCATTGGCAGCACGACGGCTCGGTGGTTAGCACTGTTGACTCACTGAAAGAAGGTCCTGGGATCAACCCCCGGTTGGACCTGGGGTCTTTCTGTGTGGAGTTTCCTTGTTCTTCTCGTGCGTGCGTGGGTTCTCTCAGTGTACTCTGGTTTCCTCCCACATCAAAAGCATGCATGTTAGGCTGCCTTCAGGCCCCGGCCTCCCTTGCAAAAGAGATCTGTGATCTCAATGAGATCTGCCTGGTTACATAAAGGTTAATGAATCCATCATCTTCTGCTTAAGAAGGAGTCCCAGACATCTCTTTCCACAGTCACCTCTTCCAGCTCTTTGGGAGGATTCCAAGGCATTCCCAGGCCAAAGTTCTGGCTCTTTCCCCGAGTCTCCTCACGGGCCTGGAAAACCTCCCCAGGGCAGCGCCCAGGGAGCATCCTTACCAGATGCCTGAACCACCTCCTGATAACTGAACTTCTCACCCAGTCTCTAAGGGAGAGTCCAGCTACCCTGCAGAGGAAACTCATTTCAACCTCCTGTATCCATGATCTCATTCTTTCAGTCTCTATCCAGAACTTGTGACCATGCGTGAGGGGAGGAACGTAGACTGACCGGTAAACAGAGAGCTTTGCCTTACAGCTCAGCTCCTTCTTCACCACAACGGACCGGTACAGAGTCCACAGTACTGCAGATGCTGCACCAATCCATCTGTCAATCTCACGCTCCATTCTTTCCTCACTTGTGGACAAAAAAGCAATCTATCCTTTTTCAACTGCGGACCATGGCCTCAGATTTGGAGATGCTGATTCTCATCCCAGCCTTTTCTCACACTGCTTCACTGCTCCAGAGCTGGAGATCACGGCACGATGACGCCAACAGGACCACATCACCTGCGTAAAGCAAAGATGGAATCCTGAGGCCACCGAAGCGGACTCCCTTCTTCCACTGGCTGCACCGAGAAATTCTGTCCATAAAAGTTATGAACAGAATCGTGACAACGGGCAGCCCTGGCTGACACCAACTCCCACCCTGAAGGGTCCAACTTACTGTCGGCAATGCAAACCAAACTCTTGTATCATAAAGGGACTGAACAGCCCAAACAACGGGCCCCCAATCTCATACTCATGGAGCTCCCCACCACCCACAGTGTACCCTGAAGAACACTGTTGAATATATTCAAATCCACAAAACACATGTAGACTGGAAGGGCAAACTCCCATGACCCCTTAAGGACCCTAGTGATGGTAAAGAGCTGATCCAGTGTTCCACGGCCAGGACAGAAGTTGTTCCTCCTGGATCTGAGGTTCGACCAATGATCGTACTCGCTTCTCCAGTACCCCTGAATAGACCTTACCAGGGAGGCTGAGGAGAGTGATGCCTCTATAATTGGAGCACACCCTCCGGTCCCACTTTTTGAAGAGGGGAACCACCACCCCAGTGGCGCTGCCCCGATGTCCGATGTTGCAAAGGCGTGTCAACCAAGACAGACCCACAACATCCAGAGCCTGAAGGAAATCCAGGCAGATCTCGTCCACCCATAGAGCTCTGCCGCCGTGGAGCTGCTTAACTACCTCGACAACCTCCGATACATGGATTACACTTCATCCATCCATCCATTTTCTTTGCCCGCTTATTCCATTTTGGGTCACGGGGGTCGCTGGTGCCCATGTCCAGCAATCACTGTGCGAGGGGCGGGGTACACCCTGGACGGGTCGCAAGTCCATCACAGGGCCACATAGAGACAAACAACCATTCACTCTCTCACTCACACCTAGGGACAATTTAGAGTTACCAATCAGCCTAACATGCATGTTTTTGGGCTGTGGGAGGAAACCGGAGTACCCGGAGAAAACCCACGCATGCACGGAGAGAACATGCAAACTCCACCCAGAAAGGCCCCTGGACCGGGGTTTGAACCAGGGACCTGCTCGCTGAGAGGCAGCAGCTCTACCAGTTGCGCCACCGTGCTGCCTTTGGATTACACTTCTGTACCTCAAAATAAATTATGCTCTTTGGTTTTGGATCCAAATCAGATTTAAATCCCCACAATATGGATATGTAAACAAATGGACACGAGTTAACGAAATAAAAACATAAATACTGATTTAGTTCTTGTGAAAGTAACGCCTCCATGTTTAATATTTTATTAAGGTCATTCCACTGCAATGTAAAGATCATTGTACAGCACTTCCTTTCCAATCAAGGTGTACATGTATGTTGCATGTGCTCTGTAGTCTCTCCACAAAACAAGTTGAAGTAAACAAAGGTTCAGATATTTTTTAAGTTAATAACAAAATATAATCCTGCCAGCACTGTGCTTTATAAGAAAAACTGGCCAAAATAAGTACTCAAAGCAAATACCTCAAATGAAAACTGCAAAATTAGTTTAGTAAGACTTAAACCCCAATGTTTTCTCATTAGCAGCCAAATACAAAAAGGAGAAATGAATTTAGCCAGCTTAGCTGGGCTAACTGATCGTTCTTTTGTGCGACAGTTAGCAGATACTCAGGATTTTGTGACAACACAAACACAATATGCAGCCGTCATTACTGAGTTAATGTTTCCTTGCTTCGACACACATGATCTGGATGTGTAGTGGTTAATTGGCTTCTGCTGAACTTGAGGAACAAGAAAATAACTCAAATATCACTGGCCCTCGGGGGCCAGAATTGATACCACTAATGAACCAGACTTGATTTTAAACAGTCAACATCTTAATTCCTGCGTTACTCACATTTGAAGTCTTTATGTGTCGAGTGGTAAATGTTTATAAATTTCAAACTCCACAGAAGCATATTTTGTGCTTTAAAACTGAAACTGGGTTTTCAAATTCACACAAAGCAAATTTTAAAAACATCACATTGACAAGATGCTGAAAAGACGCTGCAGCGCCAGGAAATGTTGCTGATCCCATGAACTATGTAAGATTCCTTCAATTCTGCAGTGCCTGGATGGTTTTAAATATAATGGACAATTATGTTGAGTAAATCTCAATTAGTGTTATTGTGAAAGAGTTGAATAAAGTTTGACTTATCTGTTTTGTTTCGCTTAATGCACCTTATAATCTGGTGCGTCTTATAGTCCAAAAACTATGGTACTTTTGTTCTGAAAAGAGTTACCATAGTGAGTACATGTTAGATTTGCTTTAGCAAAACAGACATTTTGTGATCTGTCTCAAAAAATGTCTAATATTTTAAGAGTATGTTTTACAGCTGCTCTGTAACTGCAGGTCTAACATGATACAAATCACGGCGCCTGAAGTCAAGATAAAGTGAATGAGAAAATTTGAGAATATTCAATATTTTATATTATATTATAGGTAGGCCTGTCACAATAACAAATTTTGCTGGGCGATTGTCTCAGAAATTATTGTGATAAACTATATTTGAAATTTAACAATAATGAATTGTCAAGAAGAAATGTTGATTTGTTTGGAGTGTAGTACCTTTTTTAACCACCTGATGGCAGTATAAGACTGAACCACAGGATGGATAGTGAAGGAGCGTCTCTAAGAAAAATGGGAGGGAGGGCCCTTGACATCACATGGGCTGACATGGTGACATGGCGGACGCTTGGTGATTTGAGCTCTTTAGCATAGCATTTTTAACACAATGCTTTTAATTAAAAAAAAAATTTAATCCGTAAACAAATTCTCAGCTTCTTTTTGCAGAGAAAAACAACTTTTTACACGAAGACTCGGGTTTCAACTGTGAATTTTGGAGCTCGACAAGAAGGAGATTTATTCCCGAGGTTGGCCTGTTAGCTTAGCTTCTCAGCTTAGCGGCTTTTAATGATCCAAAAACGCAATTTTGGACAGTTAAAATGGATTTTAACAAGAATAGAGAAAGGGAGGGGTCAGTGAAGAGCACCGGAGTTGAGCCGTGTCTGCAGAAAGAGACACGAAGAAATTATACAGCCGGTAAATGAAAATGAGGTCGATAATTTTCATTCATTGTGTGATTAATTGATTTATTGTTTATCGTGACTTGATTTATTGTTTATTGTGACAGGCCTAATAATAGGGCTAGATTAAAAGAAACTGGAGCTTCAGAACTAAAGTCAACAAGGCAACAGGAGTTCAGGATTCAGCAGCCAGCGGAGGAGACGGCTGGGAGGAGGTGAAGGTGGAGCTGTGGAATGAGTCGGAGAGCTTCGTGGCATGCTCCACGAGAGCGTAGGAGTCCCTGATGTCCGTCAGACCAAACCAGAAGATGGTCCACGCTCCATTTACAAAGCTCCCGTCACAATGCTTAAAGTACCTGGACAGAAAAAGACAAACAGCCAATAAATAAGCCGATCATAATGATTGGTAGCTGTTGGTGGATGTTTTTAACGACTACGACTGAGAATGTTAACTCTGGCCTTGAACCATATGTTTGGGTTAGTAGAGAGCTGGATAAGGTGGCTGTGTGCAGCTGGCACTCCAAGGTCTGTGAGCTCAGCTGAACTAATAAGGTATAAAAACAAGCTGATAAACAGACAGCCATGTTGACCTGAAGAAGGTTTTGAAACAAGAACTACAACATTGATGTAATCGTGGAAAAAAACGTGAGCAAAATGAGCAGCATCATTTTTAACTGGAGACCAGTGATAAATGATTTATCAGCATGTTGAAGCATTTTTAACATCAATAACTTAATGATCCTCTTCTGTATGACCAGTCTCATGTTGGGGAGGAATTTGCCTCCATTCATCAAAATTTTGTGGCATTAAGGGATTATTAAAACAAAAACTTTGAAACTGAATTTATTAGATTTAATGATAAACAGAAATGCAAACACTCTTGGTAGTACTGCTACTGTGTAAATATTCATTATTTAATAAGGATTTTATTATACGTACGAACCGGATTCCAAAAAAGTTGGGACACTAAACAAATTGTGAATAAAAACTGAATGCAATGATGTGGAGATGGCAAATGTCAATATTTAATTTGTAATATAACATAGATGACAGATCAAAAGTTTAATCTGAGTAAATGTAACATTTTAAAGGAAAAATATGTTGATTCAAAATTTCACAGTGTCAACAAATCCCAAAAAAGTTATGACAAGTAGCAATAAGTGGCTGGAAAAAGGAAATTGAGCATATAACGAACAGCTGGAAGACCAATTAACACTAATTAGGTCAACTGACAACATGATTGGGAATAAAAAGAGTTTCTCAGAGTGTCAGTGTCTCTCAGAAGCCAAGATGGTAAGAGGATCACCAATTCCACCATTGTTGCGCAGAAAGATAGTGCAGGAATACCAGAATGGTGTTACCCAGCGTAAAATAGCAAAGACTTTTAAGTTCTCATCAACCGTGCATAACATCATCAAAAGATTCAGAGAATCTGGAACAATCGCTGTGCGTAAGGGTCAAGGCCGTAAAACTCTACTGGATGCTCGTGATCTCCGGGCCCTTAAACGTCACTGCACCTCAAACAGGAATGCCACTGTCAAGGAAATAACAGAATGGGCTCAGGAATACTTCCAGAAAGCATCGTCAGTGAACACAATCCACCGTGCCATCCGCCGTTGCCAGCTGAAACTCTACAGTGCAAAGAGGAAGCCATTTCTAAGCAAGCTCCACAAGCTCAGACGTTTGCACTGGGCCAGGGGTCATTTAAATTGGAGTGTGGCAAAATGGAAGACTGTTCTGTGGTCAGATGAGTCACGATTTGAAGTTCTTTATGGAACACTGGGACGCCATGTCATCCGGACCAGAGAGGACAAGGATAGCCCAAGTTGTTATCAACGCTCCGTTCAGAAGCCTGCATCACTGATGGTATGGGGTTGCATGAGCGCTTGTGGCATGGGCAGCTTGCATGTCTGGAAAGGCACCATTAATGCAGAGAACTATGTTCAGGTTCTAGAACAACATATGCTCCCATCTAGACGTCATCTCTTTCAGGGAAGACCCTGCATTTTTCAACACGATAATGCCAGACCACATTCTGCAGCAATCACAACATCAAGGCTACGTAGGAGAAGGATCCGGGTACTGAAATGGCCAGCCTGCAGTCCAGATCTTCCACCTATAGAGAACATTTGGCACATCATAAAGAGGAAGGTGCGACAAAGAAGGCCCAAGACGATTGAACAGTTAGAGGTCTGTATTAGACATGAATGGGAGAGCATTCCTATTTCTAAACTTGAGAAACTGGTCTCCTCTGTCCCCAGACGTCTGTTGAGTGTTGTAAGAAGAAGGGGGGATGCCACACAGTGGTAAAAATGGACTTGTCCCAACTTTTTTGGGATTTGTTGATGCCATGAAATTTGGAAACAACAGATTTTTCACTTAAAATGATACATTCTCTCAGTTTAAACTTTTGATCTGTGATTTGTGTTCTATTCTGAATAAAATATTAGATGTTGGCACCTCCACATCATTGCATTCAGTTTTTATTCACAATTTGTTTAGTGTCCCAACTTTTTTGGAATCCGGTTTGTATATTTGTGTTAGGCTTAATATATACTTAACAATTATAATTTTTTATAGTTACTTTAAATTTATAGCACAGAAATCAATCAAGAGAAATGAAACAAGGGAACATGTTGACAGTCATTTTGTTTAAAATCAATGTCAGCTTCTTCCTGTATGCAGGAAATATTTTTTTAAACCAATTTGTGATCAACTTTATTTTTCATAACTACTTTATTTACAATAAGAGTACAACATGCAGCACATTGTACGCCCATTGACAACTCTTACCCACCTTATTCCTGGGGGTCTCTACTGTATAAATGATTATGTGCATGACTTCCTGTCAGACAGGAAGCAGTAGTAAGCATTGGTTAACCACGGTAGCAGAGCACAGACAGCGGTTTATTTGAAAGTAATTTACATTCAGTTTAGCAGATAAAACTCTGTTTTTGTTTTGTTCATATTTATTTATTTAACAACTGTAGTGAGATAGGTCGGTTAGCTTCGTTTAGCTTCGGAGCTACACTACACGTTATAATATCTGGACTAGTTCAAGTACCTGATATTATACTTAATTTAAACGGGTTCTCTCTTTTTCGAGCTACTTGACAGATATGTGACAGAGATCAGTGACGTGAGACGTTAATTTTCTTTGACCCATCAAAATGAATGCGGTCATTTATTAACAGAATCAAAGTTTAACATCAAACATTGTACACGTGATTATTCTGATTGAAGCAATAACACAGCTTAATTACAACAGACAATTATGAAAATATCTGAATGATTTACTGGCAGATAGAAGAGTTTTAAAGATGGGGAATGAAGTTTAAATGGAGAGAGATGGGTGAGGGAATTTGTCTGTTATAACCAGAACAACACGCTCCTTTGGACCCAGCTTAACCCACGGTACACTTCACAGTTGAAGATCGACTTTTTACCTTTCTGAAGATATTTCAGTTCCGGCGTAAAGTTTTACTTCAACGCTTTCCAGCGTCTCCGTAAGGATAGCAGAGATCTCAGGAGTCGTGAGATCATCCCTGAACAGACTTCCTCATTGTTCAGAGCTTCCGTCGGATAGCCACAGCGAGACGTCGTGGCATAGACGGACTCTGATCACTCCATTAGAAACTTCTCTGGAACTCTGGTTCTCTCTGGAACGTTGTTCAGCTTAGTTCCCGTTGTTCTGCGTTCCGCATTCTACATGGAACTAGGAAGTGTTGACCCTTTTAAAGAGGTCAGTTCCGGTTCCTCTGAGAACTTCCTGATTGGTCGAAACGAACCAACAGGGGTGTGGTCTTAGTGATGTAAGAGGTTATTAGAAGTCAGAAAAACAGTTCGATGTTTTGGAACAGACAGAAAAATGTTTTTGAGACAGACAAGAGAAATGTTTAGGCGAGATGGGAGGAAACAGGTGCCAGCTTCTCTATTTACGTCTGAGAGGATTTAAAAACATGACAGTTCGTTCCAACAAACTTGTTTGCGTTTGTCTCCGACTTTTGATCGACTTACAACCTGCTCATTTCAGACAGAAGATCAAGAAAATGAATAATTACTCTGTAACAGACATTAACTAGATTTCTACTTTGAATGAGGATTAAAAATCATTAATACTGTTTCACAATTGATTTAAAATAAGTAGTTCACTTCAACATTTAAAAATGATTTGAATTAAACACACTTTTGATTATCAAGACATTTGTAAAATAGTAATGATAATAGAAAAGAGAGTGTTCTTTCAATTGATCAGTGCAGGACACACTTAGAAAGTCTCTGGATGAACTTAATTTTGTGTTTCTGGACTCAAATCAATGAAATAACAGTTCTTGTCCTAGGAAGGCCCTCAGGGCCAGATTTGACCTGAGGCTTAGTTCACTACACAACCATAAAGTTTACTAAAATAGCCGTGCTGAGTTCAGGTACCTGTTGTGTTCACGGCTGCAGGAACAACCAGACCAAACTAAATCAGTGTCTACAACAACAGAGTTTGGAACACGGACCCAAAACAAAGTGTTCCTGTGAAACATGGTATAGTTTCCATCTCCTAACTACAGATGAGGAGTTAAGAAGAACGTGGCTGAAAAATGTGAACTTGAAGAGACCACCCACAACTCTGTATGGAGGAAAACCTGCTTCCTACTTTGTGTCTGGTCTACAATAAACCACCAGAGAAGAGACGCCGGATCCTCAGGAGGATTGAAAACAGTGACAAGAACATCAGGTATGATTTCTAGTGTATGGAGGTCACAGCATTGATGTATTTGTTCGTCTTCAGTTTTATGATTTTCTCTGTAATTAACCGCAGCTCTGTGATGGAGGACTTTAAGGCTTTGTCTGGGCTCTGTGTCTGTTTCAAGGTCAATAAGATTGTGTCCCACCTCTTTTAACAAAACACCACTGACCTTATTACTGTGTAGATACTGATTCACCTCAGAGCTTTTCAGGTTGTTCAGCGCTTCACCGTCAGAAGAACTGAGTCAATGAAGTAGCTAAATATACTCGTAGATGTAGCTAAATATACTAGTAGATGTAGCTAAATATGCTAGTAGATGTAGCTAAATATGGTAGTAGATGTAGCTAAATATGCTAGTAGATGTAGTAGCTAAAGATGCTAGTAGATGTAGTAGCTAAAGATGCTTGTAGATGTAGCTAAAGATGCTTGTAGATGTAGCTAAAGATG